TTAAAGTAATTAAAGAAAACAGTGAATTTTCAATTTATTCTTGCTCTCTTTGCTGTAAGTTTTTCTGATTTCTGGTGCTGACTCAAAAAGTAGGGAAAATGAAAAATTTAGACCTGCTGAGACTCAAGTGAGAAATGCAATGAACTGATTCATGGCAGCAACTGTTTTGACCTTCAAGGAACACATGTTTGTTCAGTCTGCTCCAAAGGAAGATATTTAAAGTTACTGTTACATCTTAATAACTGCTGCTTTAAAGTCAGTATTTACCTATTTCATTAGTTTTTGCCATGCTTTATTTGCACAGTGAACATTGAGGAACTCTCCCAGAAGCAACCAAGGCTTAGTCTTTCTTACGGATGTGATTTTTCTCCTCACTGAGTGGGTTGAGGTGGGAAGCACTGCCCACGTGGCTCACTGCTGTACAAGCTAAAGCACTCTACATGAATAATTTGCTACTTGCAGGTTCGGTTTGGCCTTGGTTCACTCTTCGTTTCACCCACGCAGACATGTAATGCTGATTCAGGAGCAAAGAGTGGAGTTTGGTGCTGCCAGTGTGGCAGAAGGAAAACGATTCTGCAAGATAAAGAGAAAAAAAAATTGTGTGAAATTCTGGCTTAGATCATGATTTCTTTTAACATGAAAGATGTTGGTTGATGGCGTTACTGTAATTATACACAAACTAGAGACCCACACCACATATTTGCTGCCTACATTTTTGTATGGCTTCAGTTAACGTCTCGTTGGGCCCATGAGTGTTCTGGCTGTCCACAAACACATAGTCGCTGGTCATGAAAGAACAGGCACAGATGGTTGGTTCTGAGAGTGCTGCAGCCGTTTATATATAGCTTCTCAGTAGAGCACTTGAGAGATAGGAAAACAAAGCAAGTCTGTCTGTTTGGCAACCCAATGGTTTCATCCACCCCTCATGGTCTCACTTGAGACAACAGATTTCTGAAGGATCTGGGCTTAGTAAGATTCTATCACACATCAGTAAAAAGAGCTTGTCATACATAGAACTGAATGTCTACCTTTGCTGCAGGATTTCTTGTCTGGTTTTGACAGGTTTCTGCATTTCAGCCTGCCAGTCTTAGAGGTGAAGTTAAAAAGAACCTCATGGTCACATTCCATAGCTTTTGACTTTACAGATTCCCAAACACCTGTTTTTTCTGCTTTTCTAATAAGGTGTTGTTTCAGCCTTTATTGTGGTGATCAAAGCTTAAAGGCATGTTTTCACAGTATGCATGACTTAATTTTGAAGGAAAGGTGTTGCATAATAATCATCCACATTGCATAAGAGTCCTAATTAAGTTTTTACCAGGCGCAATGTTTGCTGTATCAGTGCCACTGCACTGTTGTGTGATATCAGTCGCTAACTGTAGAGTTTGATCGTTCTTACTAAGCTGATCAACAGTGGACAGTTCTGTAGATTACTTCATCCATTCAGGGTTGGACTCATTCTGCTGCAGACAAAATGAAGGATCTACCTTCTGGAGTAAAAAGTCATGCATGGATTATTTTGGTTGCCAGCACTTGGTCAGATTTGGACCAAACTAACTACAGCCAGTTGTTGGTTTGACCCATTTGCTAAGGATTTCTATGCAAGGATAGATTTAAAAATGCAACATTCCTGCACAAATCAGCTCCATTAGTCACCCTTCTCAGCTTCCTGTTGGTCTAAAGATGATCCAGTAAAGAAGTACTAAAAGTGCTTAACACCATAAGTCATTAGTTTCAAGGGAGATGCAATGAAAAAGCTGTATTCCTTATCAAATAAAGAGCTTTTTTTCCTTATATAATTGATTACGTCTATAAATAACAACAGACCTCATTTATTGACTTAAATCTCACATTGTGAATAAACTTGGTATTTCACCTTATAGTATCAATTTCACATCAAATGAACGAAGAACTAACAAACTAACAAAAAACTAAGCAATAAGTTGTTTTAATATAAAAGCATTACTGTTGTCATTGCCATTTGTTATTAAAAGTGTAACAAACATGTATTTGTGTGTAAATGAAGTGGTTTAATGTTTTACCAATTATCCAGACAAAACATCAGTTCAGAAGTAGTTATTTTTTTGCCAGAAAGTCAAAAATATTGCTCAAAATTCTTGAAATTTTGCTATAATCTTATTCATGCCAGCAATTTATATGTGACTGTAGTTAGAAGGAAGCAGCATTTTTATGTACAAACAAAAATCATAATTTAGCATCATCTATTGCCAAAGATGACTGAGTGAATCTATTGATGCACCCTCATGCTGTGACCTCATGGATAAAATTCTGTCTTTTTTCTAAATCACATTTTCATTTTTACTTTACTGTGGACAATGTTACATGACACACCCCCACTAACCAGATGATCCTCCATACCATTGATCTCAAATGTTATTTTCCATCCTCTGTGAGCTAAACTTTAATTCATTTCTGATAACAAATCATTTTTTTCTGGAAGAAAATTAAAAAGAGTTTGTTATTTGAATCCATGTGGTATCTTGGCCAGAGAGCCAAAGAGAAAATGTAGTAGAAAATAAGAGAGAAGCAAAAAACAAAATAAAACCAGCATCAGATCAGTGTCAGTACACAGGCTTTGACTGAGATGTTAGAAAGCAGAATGCATCCAACTCCAAAATGTTTTTATTGGAGGCTGAGTGTCTAGATGAAGTTCCCTGTGGTGGTGGAAAGATGGTGCTTGCTGACTTTCTGTCTATCATCTTTGAAATGTTGGCTGAGAAACCATTTCAGAGTTCTGACTGAATTTAGTCATTGCAACATTAAGTAATGTACTGGTAACATAAAAAAAAATAAACAGCAAAAAACAGTCTTTTATTTGAAGCTTTCTCTAGCAATCTTGATAGCTCACATCACTGTAAGGATGTCCAATCACCTGAATTGTTGTATCTGCTAGCTTCAGCAGGGCTTGTTGTTTAATTCTCTTTATTTATGCCTTTGAAGTGTGACAAAATAAAAGACGTGATTTATTCGGCAGATGGTAATCAACATTGGAAGGTGTTTATGAGGTTATTTGTTTTGTTGTACAGTTTTGCAACACATGAACATTTTATCTTTTAGCCTGAGGTACAGATGGTTGTCATTAACAGAGTCACATTCCAAACATGGCGCACCCACCCCTGTTTTCAGCCTTCATAACCTGTAATAGGATTGTTTCATTCCAGTGAACAGTTTCATAGATCTGTGGCATCGACCAGAAATTAAATTTGTTTATGGTAATAATTCCCCATTGTTGGGTTTTGGTCTGAATCTTTTAGCAGCGTCATAATATCTACCTAAGAGCGAATGCCGGACTCAGTTAGGATGACTGTGAAGGGCAAATTTCTCACTCAAGTAGCAAGATCTGTGGTCTCAATGAAAGTTCCTGGTCAGGGTATGGAAATGGCCTGTTTTTAGTACAGTGCCTTCTAGAGTCCTGGAACCCCCAAGACACTTTAAAACACAACCAGTCATTCACCTATTCACACACACATTCACACCCCGGTGGTGATGAGCTACCATGTAGCCACAGCTGCCCTGGGGCGCACTGACAGAGGCTAGTCTGCTGTACACAGGTGCCACCGATCTCTCCAAACACCACCAGCAGGTGGGTGAAGTGTCTTGCCCGAGGACACAACAATAGCTGGGCTCAAACTTCCAGCCTTCCGATTACCGGGTGAGCACTTAACTCCTGTGCCACTGTCGCCCACATGGATTGTGTATGCATTTTTTTTTTCAGTATCCAGAAGTTTTCTAAATAGACAGTGCAAGTCCTGAATTTTAGTTAGCCATGTTTTGTTACCTTCTTTTTACTATTTTACCATCTCAGTTTTGGACCTTCTCAGTGGCCTAGTGGTAGTGGTAGAGTATCTGTCCTGGGATTGGGAGATTGGAGTTCAAATCCCAGCTGGGTCATACCAACAACTTTAAAAATGGGACCCAATACCTCCCCGCTTGACACTCAGGTTTAAGGGTTTGGATTGGGGGTTAAACCACCAAATTTATTCCCAATCACAGTCAGCGCTCCCCATGGGGATGGGTCAAATGCAGAGAAGTAATTTCACCAGTGTGTGATGATGACCAATGGGACTTTTGTTAATTTTAGCTGGTCTCATTCATTCAGTTTTCTCCCTTTAAAATGTAATCCTATCCATTAATCAAAAGGTGCATATATCCAAACCATTTATTGATGTCTACACTTAAATCTCACAAAATCTTTTTGAAAAATGGAGGTTTTGTATAGGTGTCTAAATGTAGGGTCTGAAGTTAATGAGCTCTTGCCACAGCATGGCACTCTTAAATGACCATTTACAGGCCTGGTCATAGGCTATAAATTAACATTCTGATTGGCTAACACACTGCTGACGTTAACCTTTCCATGGTGAGGCTACAAATGATTCATTTACTGGATTGTGCGTAATTTTATAACAATTTAATTATTCTCAGGCTTGATGGAACAAGCTTATGAGTCAGAGATGGCCCAGAGCCAAGAGTTAAGTATCGCTGGTCTAGTGATTGTTGCACCTCTCAACCGATGTGCTAATTTGTATTCACACTGCACTCTTTTTCTGTGTACCTTGTTTGAGAGTGCTCAGTGCTGTCAAAAGATTAAGTCTTCTTGTCCACGTTGTTTGGACAGGCATTCAGACTCTTGGCTAGAAAAGGTTGTACCAGGTCCTTTGGCAGAGAATGACCATCTATAAAGAAACAGGAAATTTAATTTAATTAATGCAACTTTTGTTTTTAGCAACCAATCATAAAGAATATCAATCTATTATTGTGCGGACAGTGCAAATATTAATGTAAACCTTCACAAAGGATCATACTTTGCATTATTTGTCAAAACTGTTGAAATTACGCCAGTGGTCACCAAAACTATCCTGAAAGCTATGGATGTTTCACTGCTCAAAACACCTGATTCAAGTAGCTGAGTCACCTCCTCAGCAAGCAAAATGTCTTTAATAAAAGGCTTTACTCATTCTTGTTCTCTTGTTTTTGTTTTTCAGAAGAAAGAATGGCTATGCCTAAACTGCCAAACACAGCGAGCCCTATCAGGAAGCTTAGGAGATATCCCAGATCCTATGGGACCTTCCATGGGATCTCCCAGATCTCCTGTGCCAGCCAAACAGCCAACACCTCAGCAGAAAGCAACCAGCCAGCTTTCAGGGCCTAACACCACAGGTCCTCAACAACAGCAACAGAAACCTGCGGGTCCCCAAGTAAGTGGCCCACCCTCTAATGTGAAACAGGCTGGGCTTGCCCCTCAAACAAAAGGGCTCAGCCAAACTTCCCCTCAAACCAAGGGTTCAGCTCAACCACCTCCCCAAGCTAAGAGTCAAACACATCCCCCATCTCAGATTAAGGTACCTGCTAAAGGTCCAAATCAGTCACATGCTCAGAATAAGGCCTCCACACAGTCTGCTAACCAGACGAAGGGCCCATGTCAGGTCAAAGGGCAAACCCAGGCTAAAGGTTCTGTTCAGCTCTCGGCTCAGACTAAAGGCCCTTCTCATCCCACTGGTGCTAAGGCCTCATCTGGCCCTGGCAAAGCTGCGCCTAACCATACCAAGACCTCCACCCCCTCCAAAACGGTTCCTATTCAGTCTAAACCCACAGGTAACAACCAGGGCCGCAAACAGCCACAGAGCCAGGAGAAGACTAAAGCTGCATCTAAAACTCTAAAAGAAGATCTAAAGGCCTCACAGAAGAAGGCTTTATCAGAAACTGACACATCTCCAAAAGACACGAAGATAGCAGAAGAAGAAAAGAAGTCAAGACACCACGAAGTGAGCTACCTGCAACTTCTTCGCCTTCACCTGTTACACCTGTTACTCTTGAGTCACCATTTAATTTACTTTGCTCCATCCAAGTTACTGGAACCATTTCGCAGAATCATGATGTTCTTTTAATTTCAGCATTGTTTGTCTAAGCTTATGGTTTTTTTTTACATTCTCATCTCATCCCATCATCCTCTTTTTACTCATCTGTTTTGTGTCAAACCATTATTGCTATTTTTATTATCATTTACTCTATTAAATTGAATTGAACGATAATAAATTATTTCTGTCATTCAAACAATAATCAAACATTTATTTAAAAAAACTCAACCAATTTGATTGCCTTCTTTATGCCGTTATTCTGGTTAACCCTTTAAAGAGCTAGCGTTTAAATTCAGACACGACCACTCACATTTTGATATCAGTGTGCCTTTTTTATGGACTCCCAGAATTACGGGATTTTACCCAACCAATCATCAGCGATCAAGCTAGTCACAGTTGTAGCCATGGTTAATTTTGACCATTCAGCACTATGATGTGCCAAATATTGGTTTGTCTGTAGAACCAGAAAACTACCTTCCTGCAGCTCACTCTCCACTCATGTTTACTGTCGGATCTTGAGAACTAACAATGCTAGCTTTACGAATCTCTCACATCACAAGGTTGACTAGTTGTGCTAAATAACGACATGTGTCATAAATGTCAAACTTTATAACATTGGTGGAATGAAAGTCAAATCTGCCACATTTGAGCATATGCCCTGACCAAATAAAATAAATTATGTACATTTTTAGGGAAAATCTGTTACTTTTCAGGCATAATCTTCATAATCATGGTAACAGTAATAATAGCAATTATAATATTCCATATATTTTAAAGTTTATATGGAAAATGGAGGAGGACACTTATTGTGCCAGCCAATATCGCCATCACTGATGATGAGGCGGCGGAAGATGACACTGAGACAGATCCTCAAATATATAATATTCTAAACTATTAAAGTCATCTAAATTCAATCAAAAATTGTATCTATTGTTCATAACCTTTAAAAATGTTGTACAGTAATCTGTTTTTATAAAAATATACGTATTGTTTAGTAATTGTGATATATTCTGTATATATATCTACAGTGATATAATGTTCTAAAGTTAGCTATATTATTCACTTATAGTATATACATTATTCAGAAATAATGTTTATTTAACTTGTTCATGTTTTTTGTTTTGGGATTTTTTTTTTACCAGAACAGGGCCAGCTTCCATATTTGATCATTTTGTTTTCTTTGATCGTCTGCATGAAAATAAATATGTTTAGAAAATTGTAACAAAACTACAATGAGTGCCTTAAATCTTTGTTTTATGAAAAAAAACCACCTCTATTTTAATTATTCATTATTATGTTTATCATCACAATTGTTTCAGTTGCCATTCCTCATTTTCAACCCTCCCATCCATTTCTGTGTATACATACACACACACATATATATGTATGTATATATTATATGTATATAAATATATATAATACATACATATATATATATATATATATATATATATATATATATATATATATATATATATATATATTTTTTTTTTATTATAAATTTTTTAACTTTTTTTTTGTTTGTTTGTAAAAAGGAAAAAAAAAGCTGCAAGCTGTTTGTGTAATGTGACACTTCGTGATGATATTTCAAGCATTCCAAGCATGTTCTTTATTCTTCAATGATTCGAAGAATGCGATGGAGAATGTGCCAAAGGTGTCAAATGAGCATGAGTAAAATTGACATTTGTCTGTAAATGTTTGTATGTTCAACTCTCTGTTATATTCACTCTGTGTTGGTGTATTTTTCCATTTGTGTGCACATAACACTAAAAGGCAAACTCAACCCAAACAAATATTAAATGGTCGACACATGTTATGCTTTTATAGAGCAAATGTGTTCTTTTCAGTTTATTGAATTAAACTTTTAGGATCTAATGGAAATACAATGTAAGCAGTTGGGTTGATTTTAGCCTAAAGTGTTAAATTCAGTACATTGTTACTCAAAGTGTTTATTCTCTAATACCTTACTATTAGAGACTATTTCATCTATACTAAAAATGATTTTACTTCCAATCATCTTACAATGCTCTTAAGAATGTCATTGCTGATGATCTGGATGAAATAGTGGGATGTGTAACGTGTACTAAGCCTATAATGTCTTTTTTATGAGTTTATCATAAAGGCCTTTATTGGTTTCTGATTGTTCTTCTCTTTCTTTCTCTCTCTGTAGGATCACAGCAAATCAAGTATGCAGAGTTTAAGTGACACTGGATACTCTTCAGATGGGATCTCTAGTTGTCAAGGGGAAATCACAGGCCAGATCAAAGAAGAAGGAATTAAGCTTAGTGAAAGAGGTGCCTCCATCCCCTCAGAAATCACCAAGTTAGAGAGCTCCATGAAACCTTTGCTTGAGTCAAAGACAGCCTCAGACCAGAAGTACCGGCCCCATTCACTTTCTGTAGGGCAAGACTACAGTCCTGATGATGACGCAGCAAGGGATGAATCAGAAGATGATCTCAGTTGTAAGCTCCGTCATGATTATGTGGAAGACAGCAGTGAGAGTGGTCTGTCACCATTGCCTGTGAGACAAAAGAAGTCACATAAAGATGTAACAGATGAAGAATACATGAGGAGGCAAATAATGGAGATGAGTGCTGATGAAGAAGAATTAGAAGAATTTGGAACACAAAAAACTAAAAAGATGCATAAAACCAGTGGTGATGCGGGCAAAGAGAGAAGACGGCTCTCTCACCAGTCCAATAGTTTTGAAGAGGATAAAAAAGTATCAGAGGGTGCCTATAAAGCAAATGAAGAAGAAGATGTTGTAATGGCTGGAGGGCTTCGACGTTTTAAGACAATTGAGCTAAACAATACCAACAGCTATAACCGCGACATTGAGCTCAGTAGTGAGCATGACTTAAGAGAACCAGAGCTGGAGATGGAGAGTCTGACTGGTTCACCAGAAGAAAGATCCAAGGGAGATTATTCATCCACTCTACCTGCAACTACTCCTAGCTACACCTCTGGAACATCCCCCACCTCTGTGTCATCCATGGAAGATGATAGTGACAGCAGTCCCAGTCGAAGAGCAAGACTTGAGGAGGCAAAGCAACAGAGGAAAGCTCGCCATCGGTCTCATGGGCCCTTGCTACCAACTATTGAGGACTCATCTGAGGAAGATGAGCTTAGAGAGGAGGAGGAACTACTTAGAGAACAGGAACAGATGAGGGATCTGGAGCAACAGAGGATTCGAAGTACAGCCCGAAAAACAAAAAGAGACAAAGAAGAACTCCGGGCACAGAGGCGCAGAGAAAGGTCCAAAACCCCTCCAAGCAATCTTTCTCCGATTGAAGATGCTTCACCAACTGAAGAATTGAGACAAGCAGCAGAGATGGAGGAGCTCCATCGTTCTTCATGCTCTGAATATTCACCTTCAATGGACTCTGAGGCAGAAGGTTTTGAGATGATAGGTGGAAAGCTTTACAAATCAGGTAAAGAGTTTAACCTCCCAACCTTCACTTCACTCTACTCTCCTACAGAGAAGACGTCAGCAATGTTGCCATCTGACAAAACTCTTAAAAGTGCAGAGGAGGTGTATGAGGAAATGATGAGAAAGGCACAGCTTATGCAGAAGCAAGGACAAACTGTTCATAAACAGAAAGGTGCCTCCCAGTCAGAGGGTGGGTATCTTGAAGCTGGAACGTCGCTAACCCCTGGCTCAAGCCCTACACAGGTTACTGCACCTATGTCCTTCTCCACAACAGCCAGTGACTCAAGAATTACAGGTATGCATGCAGCACAGCACCTGTCAAAAGAAACACAGAACAGAATGATGACACAGAGTGCCAAAATTGAAGGTGTTGTTGGAGTTGCAACAACAAAAGCCCAAATGAGTCAGGCTGCCTCAGCTCGACATGCAGGAAACACAGTGCCTGTTAGCAACAGAACAGGCTCCCAGAGGCCAACACAACCGACACCAGACCCTGGATCATCCTCACTGACCTCCAAAGTCTTTTCACTTTTTAAAGGACCCAGCCCCCCAGTCTCTCCAACTGCATCTCCATCCCAAAGCCCAACTCATACACCACCTGTACAACATGCAAGTAGTAACAGCAGGCAGCTGCCATCTTTGCCAGCTGGTGCTACAACAGCATTAGCATCACATGGTGTTCAAGCACCTGAAAGGACAATGTCACCACGTCTTGTTCGACAACAGTCCTCTCAAGACTCCCCCGTGATGGTGATAACGCTGGGCTCTGAAAAGTCCAGTCCTGCCAAGCCACTCACTGTAAATTCCTCTACTTCTCCTTTGTCATCACCAACACAGTCCAGTTGTAAAATGCTGTATAGTTCACACACCCCTTCAACAAGTTCCCCAACATCACCACCACACCCCCTAAAACATTCTTCTCAAAACATTGAAAAAGTTAATGTTGGTGTTAGTGCCGGGATCACAAGTGCACAAAGTCGTGGGTCTATGGAAAATGTATCTCTGTGTAAAATCTCTAATGTTCCAGGCACTTCAAAGATTGTGGGGCAAGGCCAAATCCTTCCAAACACTACTGTTGTAGATCTAAGAGCTCCACAGAGGTCAGCTCCAATTATAATGACAGATCAGGGCATGGATCTAACATCTCTTGCCTCTGACACAAGAAGATATTCTCTAGGAGCGGAGCAGCCATCCAATAGACACACATTAGTGCAGCCTCTAATTATGAACCTAAATGCACAAGAGCAGCCACATGTATCCATATCAACACCCACAACAGTTAGTGTTACTGTTGCAGGATCAATGTTCATGTCCCAACCCAAGCAACAAGTAGTGTATGGAGACCCTCTGCAAAACCGTGTGGACATAGGTCAGTGTGTTGGATCAGCTGTTTGTTTAAGCCAGAGTAAGCCACTACTTACTGATCCTTCTATTCCTAAAATTGATGCCTGCCTGGAAAATCTTGAAATACAGCAGCAGCAACTGCAGTTACAACAACAGAAGCTTCTACAGCAGCAACAACTTCTTGAGCAGCAGCTTCAGCAGCACCAACAGCAGTCATCCTTTGCTCGTTACAATTTAGCCAATCAGGTACAACCAATGCTGATAAAAAAAGACCTTGTGGTGACCCAGACGAGCAGTGCCCAGCCTGTAGTGACTGCTAGTGCCATACCTAGAGTATCCCCTCTGGCTCCACCATCAGTGTCTGGGGCTCTTTCTTCTAGTGTTCCCCATGAAATGTATGGTGGCATTGCCTTAGAGCTAAAAAACAAGCCAACGGTAATGAATTTGTCAACAGCTAAACCCCATATTATGATAGTGCAACTTGATGAGAGCAAACCTTTACAAAGTGGCACAGTTACTCAACTGGTAAAGCAAGAAGAGCATCCCCCTGCCCCTCCTCCTCCTCAGGTTTTGGATTTGACTGGACAGCTGAAATCAGAAAACCAAGTGGCTTGTTGTGATGTTGTTTACAAACTGCCCTTTGCTGGCACATGTTCGGGGTCATTCGCTCAGAAGTCTACTACAATTTCTTCAGATAAAAATCCTACTTCTGAAGCATCTCAAGCAGCTCACCCTCCCCATTCACCTCATTACAGTGTAAGCCAACAACAGCAGCAACAACAAGCTCAAGTTACCCAAGGAATACCAGTGGATCACAAACAGTATCCATCTCCTTTAATATCTTCTGGAAGAATACAGCCTTCCATGTCTGATACCAACCTGCCTTCAATGAATGATGCCGCTCACTATCAGAACAATCCCCAGGGAGGTGTGGCAGTAGATCTTAGCAGTATAAACCAGATTTATGATGCTGGCTGTCTTGGCATAGGGGCACAGTATGGTTCTTACACAGATTTGCGTCACCAGGGGGATTTTTTAGGTCCTTCACTGCCTCTTCGACGATATGGTTCCATGTCAAATATAAATTCTGACTTGAACTGTGGTTCACGTGATTTAACTGGATCACAGGACTCTAATCTGGCTCAGTATAGTGCTACTACAGCAAGGGAGATTAGTCGCATGTGTGCTGCTCTTAACACAGTTGATCAGATAGGCACACGTTTTGGATATAACCCTGAACTTGCTGCATATGCAGCTGGAAGAGGTGGACCTTTAGCAAGGCTGAATCTTCATCAAGGCTCAGCATCAGTTAGAGCTAATTTACTTTATGGACCAGATGGAAGACAAACCGTGAATGGTCAAACTCTGACAAATCTAATTAATGCTAGGCAAGCAAGTATACGCGCCTTGTACCCTGTTACTATGAGGGGAGGTGATGGCATGATATATTCCACCATAAATGCCCCAATAGCTTCAACCTTGCCAATCACTACACAGCCAGCCCCAGTTATACGTCCAATGCCTCGAGGAATTTACAGACCATACCCTACAGGTGTAACTGCTGTACCCTTGGCTAGTCTTACTAGGCTGCCTCAAGTCACTCCTAGAATACCTTTATCCACACAAGGCCCATATTCCTACCCTCCTCCAAACCAGTTTCCTACTTCAGCCACACCATCAGAAAATGTTTCCGTATTAAGCAGCTCACACCAAGAAACCCCTGTGTATCTTGGAAAATCTTTAACAACAACAGCTGGACAAACATCTGCAACTATTCCAACAACCCAGCCTGCTGCACAGGCAGGTGCACAACATGCACCTATGCCTGGTATGCAGACCATGGTAGGCCAGCAAATAGACCATGCGCAGCTTTCCTCACAGAGTATTACAACTCTCTCTCAGGCTCATGGCCAAACGCCAATTGTCCAACCAGTGCAGCCTCAATTGCAGACTCAGCAATTGCCAGCACAAACTGAACCTTTATCTTTGACACAAACCCAACCTCAAGCACAAACTGTCAGCCAGCCTCAGTCAGTAGTTCTGCCTCAAGCTCAGTCAAAACCAACAACTACTGAACCTGTGCAAGCACCAAGTTCCAAACCCTCTCCTATAACTGATGTACAAAAAAGTAAGGATGATGAGAAGCTAAGTCAGCAACAAGAGCACTTATTACACCTAGAGCGAGAACGGGTTGAACTGGAAAAGTTACGGCAGCTACGCCTTCAAGAGGAGCTAGAAAGAGATCGTATGGAGCTCCAGCGCCACAGAGAAAAAGAACAGCTTCTTGTTCAGCGAGAGCTTCACGAATTGCAGACAATAAAACAACAAGTGTTACAGCAACAACAAGCAGAGCGTGAAACACAGCTTATAATGCAAAGAGAACAACTGGCCCAGCAAAGAATGCAGCTTGAGCAAATTCAGACTCTGCAGCAGCAACTTCAGCATCAGTTGGAAGAGCAGAAAAGGCAAAAGACGGCAGCGGTAGAGGCAGCAGCAGCAGCTGCAGCTGCTGAGGCAGCTGCTGCATCAGCTGCAGCAGCAGCAGCAGCAACATCTGCTCAGGGTGCTATCCAAGGAGTGGTTGTTGGAGGAGGGGTCCCACAAGGGTTTATAATTTGTGACCAGAGTGGTAGAGTCATTCAGAAAGATGGACAGAGTGTTCAGTTCTGGCAGGATGGACAAGTAGTCCAAGCAGTGGTAGCAGCTCGACCTATTCAAAGCTCTGCTTCTGAAATGTCTTTGAAAAGCAGCGATAAGCAGGCTGATTCTAAGATTATGAAAAAGCAAAATTCTATGCCTCGACTGAGGGATGGCACCGAGGAAGACTCTGCTAAAAGAATTACAGACAGCTGTGTCCAAACTGATGATGAGGATGGTGAGGAGAGATTCATGAATAGGCGTAGAAGAACAAGACGCATTGCTGACTGCAGTGTCCAGACTGATGAAGAGGACCAGGGAGAATGGGACCAGCAGCCAGTAAGACGTAGACGATCCCGTGTATCCAAGCATTCAGAACCCAGTGGTGAGACAAAATCTGACGGATCATCTAAAGTGGCTTCTGCAAGTATAGCTATTCAGACCACCAATGACTCATCATGCCAAACAGAACCAGACCAACTTGGCAGGATTTCACCTGCAATCCATGTTACCATGGCAGAGACCTCAAAGGTTGACCTCTTACATTATATAGCAGCTCCAGAAAGGACTCACAAAGGAGAGAGTCTAGCCTGCCAGACCGAGCCAGAGTCCCATTCTCAGGGAGTAGTTGCCCCTCAGTTGAGTGTCCCTACGACTATAAGCCCATACTCTACAAGTCTGCATATAGTAGGGGCAAACACATCTGACCCAACCTCTCCCAGACTCCAAGGTGTCGCTAAGTTTGAACGAAGGAAGCCAGACCCGTTGGAAATTGGTTATCATCAGCAACATGAGTCTTCATCTCGCCAACCCCCCAAATCTCCCCAAGTGTTATACTCCCCAGTATCTCCATTGTCTCCTCATCGCATGTTGGAGACAACATTTGCTTCTCAGGAGAAGCTCAACAAGGCTCATGTTACACCACAGCAGAAGGCCTTCACTGCTGAATCTCCTCAACGGCATCAGTCGCTACCAAGACCCATAAAGAGTGTCCAGCGCTCGATGTCGGATCCAAAGCCTCTCAGCCCAACATCAGAGGATCCTGGCAAGAACAGGTTCTCCTCATACCATCAAGTTGTGTCCAGCAGTCAGGTACGAAATAATTATTTTTTTCTTTGAGCAGAAATCAATAAATGTTTTGTATCATAGTGCAATCCAAAGAAAATTATGTTTTTTAAAGTTAAAATAAATTAAAGCCAATATGAGATCTAGAATTGAGGATCAAACAAAACATAACCTTTTATTCAAACTGTATTTTATCAAAATACCTGAATTACTTTCTATGAATGCACAAACTAGCAATACCTGTGAGTGTTAAGCTGGTTCACTGAGAAACTACTTTTTACCTGTTACATTTGAAAAACGATTGGCCCCTCTGGTTTTATTTGCTTGGTGAACATGAATAAGGTGTTCTTCCCCTATTACTTGCATTAGCTGCCAAAAGAAAATAGACAGGGAAATGCTCTGGTCAGAAAAGGTCAGACGTATATAAATGACATTGTAAATTAGCTTTCATGGATTCACCCATCTTGCTTGATTTAACATTAAGGAGAGCAAAATGTGTCTGGGCTAGTAGAAGTTTAGCATTAGCAGGTCCGCGATATGGCAAAACCTGTTTGGGCTTGAGTTGTTTGTGGAGGTAAAACATCAACATTGCACAGGTTGCAGTGGTAGAGTCATGTTGCTGTTAGCCAATCAGAGGCAAGATGGCCAAATATCATGAGTAATAACGAGTAAGACTCCAAATCCTGCCGTTTTCTGCCCCCCTAGCTAACCTCTATTTCTCGAAACACATGCACAATAGCTTTTTTCCCCATAGAGTACAACTCACAAAACATTAATTTGTACACAGCAAAATTGGGAAAAAAATGAGTGAATGAGAGTTTGAAAGTAAAATATGTACAAATATGCAGTATAATAATCTGGTTGCATTATATGAGCACAGATAATCACACGTGGTCTGGCTGTGGAGAGGAAGTGACAGTAGGATCTCATAGGAGCATCTGGCCATACCAGAAAAACCTTCTTCTGTATCTCCTCCCACTTCTTCCTCATGTCTCATCAACTCCACCCACCTTCTAAATCTGGAAAACCCTTAAGTGATGCCAGTGGGAGACACACAATGTGAAGGAATCCAAGTGCTGCTTTGCTTTCTTCATGACTCTTAGCAGCTGTGCAAAGTAAATTACCACTGCTCTGCTTTCAGACGAAAATTAGTGTGAGAAGTGGTCTTCGCATTTAATCCAAAAATTTGTAGTGTTAGTGCTTAATGCAAGACTGAGGATACTAATAATCGCAATGGATCTGTTCAACATAGCTATTTTGTAAGTAACAAGTTTGTTTAAATATCTTTTAAAATGTTATATTTTCATTTACAGCGTCTGATTGTGGTTGCTTGCATGCCATTTAATTGTATTTGTGTAAAACAGCCCATATCCTGAATAAATTTAAAGAAAGAGACCAAAAATTAAAGGGGAACAATTTGGAAGGACATCAAACTAAAATAAGTTTTACTTATTTATCTCTGTAAATGAGTCAAAAATGTAGGCATATTACATTTACAAATCTCCTGAGACATATGTTCAGGTAGTATTTTTTACATAAAAATTGGACATTGAGGTTTATCTTTTCTGTAATTATCAAATTAGATGTGAGCTTAAAAGACATGTATGTTTTTCTTATAATGCGTAACATGAATCAACTTTAACATTACAATAGATTTCAGTGAACAGGGTTGTTTTATCTTGCTTTAATGCTTTGGTATAAAGATGTATCTGATCTAAATTGTCCAATAATACACTGTTTTACCTTTAGAGGATTAAGTGGGTATAGAAAATGAATGGATGAACGAACGAACGAACGAACGAACGAATGAATGAATGAATGAATGAATGAATGAAGACCTTTTATTTGAAATGTTGATCAATCGTCACCCACTGTTCATTGCTAGATATTCTATAAACATGTTTGGTGCTTGGAGGAAATGTACTGACCCTCCCCGAATGCCTAGCATACAATAATGAGTTTAATTTGCAAAACAGATTCTGTTTATAGCTCAGTGTTTACTGATGTGTTTCTGGCTCTCACAGCAGATGGCCTCCCTACAGCAGCAGCAGAACTCTCTGATGAGGAAAGTAAAGAGGACTCTCCCCAGCCCACCGCCAGAGGAACCTCCGCTGCCTATTGTTACTCCAGCACAAATGTACAGCTCTCCTGGCATGTCTCAGAGAGTCCTTCCAAGGCCTGCCCAGGGCGTCACCAAAGCTGGTCTGTTGAGCGAATTAAAAGCTGTGGAACAAGAGTCATCAAAACTTCGTAAGCAGCAGGCTGAGCTGGAGGAAGAGGAAAAAGAGATTGATGCCAAGTTGCGTTATTTGGAACTAGGCATTACTCAGCGTAAGGAGACGATGGTGAAGGAGAGGGAAAGAAGAGAGTTGGCCTACTTGCGATGTATGGGTGATGCCCGAGACTACATGTCAGATAGTGAGCTTAATAATCTCAGAATGGCAGCTGTGACTGGAAGTTATGATTCTAATGGTTTACTGGCGAGGCCCAGCACTGCTCCTCTAAGTCAGTTTACAAATGACCTAAATCCAGCTTCCCAATATCCTTCAACGTCCTCCTATATGCCATATCCATATCCTCAAACTCAACCATCAACACAGCCACCTGGCTCTGCTTACCCACAGATAGGCTTCACACCTCCTCAGTACCCATCCTCTGCACCCCAGCCTGGAACTTTCCAACCTCATCCTCCTACAGGCCCTGGGTACCAGAACCAAGGAGCCTATTCAACCCGCATGTATGGCCAGTCAACTTATCAAACTGATTTTTCATTGCAGCAACATGGTCACCAGGGCTTCCACTCACCTGGTCAGCCTATGCCAGGACAGAGCCTTCCTTACCCCACCCATAGTTCTTACCAACCAGGTCTCACCTATCAACCTCAGGCAGAGATCCTTACAGTCCATCAGAGACCAAGGCAAACCTCTCTGGCAGACCTTGAACAAAAACTTCCAACAAACTATGAGGTTATCAGCAACCCAGCAGTCTCAGTAGCCACATCGGCTCCTGATGCCAGCTATGGTTCAGCTTACAGCACCGCATATGGGCAATACCGAGCTCCAGACCCTGGCCTCACTCACTCAGTCGATAGCCCCACCTCTGCTTATGGTTCAGATGGTCTTTACACTTCCAATTTAGAGCAGAATATTCCAAGGAACTACGTGATGATCGATGACATCAGTGAGCTGACAAAAGAAAACGCCAGTCAGCACACTGATGCTCTCGGACATCCCGTTGGAGGGCGTTATCGCAGCGAGAATGGCCCTGCAAGAGGAACTGGCTATGATGAGTCTGTTGATGCCTACGGCAGACCTACTGGATCAGCTGGTTACCAAAGCACAGCGGATGGTCGCACCAGCACCACAGTGAGTGGGGGTTCATCTTACTATTACGATGATTATAAACACACATCTCGCTCTGGTAGTCACAAGGTTACATCCAAAAACCTTGCTCCAGCTGTAGTTTCCTCTAAACGTAGTAAACATAGGAAGCAAGGAATGGAGCAAAAGATTTCTAAATTCTCGCCTATTGAGGAAGCTCGTGATGTAGAATCTGACCTCGCCTCTTACACAATGACAACATCAACTGGGGGTACTTGTCCGGTTGTGTCAAGATCCAAGAAACTTCAGGATGATGTCCCATATGGCATGAAGAAAAGCACATATGATCAGCAGAAATATTATGGTACCAGTCATGATGGTCTTGAAGAGGATGACCGCATGTATAGCTCTGGTCGATCCAGGTCCACGGGATATGGAATGGACAAAATATCCTCCAGAGATGCTTCTGGTCATCGCAGTAAATCCTATGAAAGAGATGCTATAGAGCGATCTCACAGAAGTAGTCGCACTGGAAGGCCTCCAATGCGAACCCAGAATTCAGAAGAGGAGAGCCCACTTAGTCCTGTTGGGAAGCCTGTGGGCATGGGAAAAGGTTCTGGCATACCAGAGGCACATGATGTTAGAAACCAGTATGGCTCCAGCCATTCATTACCAGATGTGCAGGACCACCACAAAAAGGATCTTCCCAGAAGTAACGTCTATAAACCAGATGATCCTTATCTCGTAGATGACATGCACTGTGCTGTTTCTGACAGCGAAGGTAACTGGTGCTAAATTATTTGTGTTGTATTTTGCATGGCAAAAAAGGACAAGAGTCTTTATCAAGTCTTTTTATTTTTTCTCAGTTTCCCCTTCTCATTTATGAAGCCAAAATTGTCTTCTTTTTGCATGCACGTTTTTATGCAATAAGCAGCACATGAAAAATCTCTCTCTTTTTTTCTCTCTTTTTTCCTTTTTCTGTTATTTATATATTTTTTACCTGCATGGCTCTGGGATGTGAAATGCATTTTTCCTTCAGTGCATGTATCTGCATGGTATTCCATCTCTCAGATAAAAAACTGTTGACTGATAACTCTTGTATTGCTTTTTTGAAAAGCATATCACTTAAGTCAGGAGGAGACTGACTGGTTTGAGAAACCGCGAGAGGCCCGTTCTGATCGCTCAAGACATCATGGAAGTGGAGGTCACTCCTCCACTAGCAAACGTAATAAACACACCTACCATGACTATGATGAACCTCCTGAAGAGTACTGCCAACAGGATGAGTACAACCAGCGCCACTCATCCTCCACGCCACGGGACCACCGTCACCATGGAAGCAGCTCTGGCAGGCATAGCTCTTCCCGTCACTCCTCAGAAGACCCCAGGTCTTCACGTTCTTCCAGGACGCACCCAAAAGACCCATCTGCCCGCTCTAATGGAAGGACTCCCTCATCTGCACAAAGAAGAAGTGGCACAGATTCCCACTCTGGCCATGGAAGTCCACGAAACTCAGGAGATTTCTCTCGAGAATCACCCTCTGGTCATCACCATGGTACTGCTGGAAGAAGCCAGAGACCACAAGGGGATCGCACGGCTACCCGAAGACAAGATCCTTCTAAACCTCAGAGTCAGCAGCCTCCTCAGGGCCATGCTGGACAGCAGCGGTCAGGTGGTCAGGGGCAGTCGGAAAGACATCCAGGCTCTGACCTGCCTGATGCCAGCCAACAAGCCCAGCAGCAGCAACATAGTGTGCAACAACAGCAGCAGCAGCAACAACAGCAACAGCCACCACACCACAGCCAGACCCCTCCGCTTAGCCAGCCAACAACAGCTGGAAGTGGACCAACACAGCAGCAGTTGCAGCAGCAGCCCAAACCTGGACAAGCCCCATCACAGGGCCGCCAGCCAGCAGTGGGGTCGGCAGCAGGGCAGCAGGCCTCAACTGTAAGTGGACTTGGTTTAATTTTATCTGCCTTAATAATTAGAGTATTAGTGTTTGTACTTTTGTGTCAAATTTGCTTCATGTATTTTGCAATAAAAAAAAACTAACAAAGGCAAAACTTGATTTTTGCAGTCCAATATACATTTTTACTTTCAAAATTATTTCTATTTATTTATTGACTGTGTAAGCGAATCATTGATCTACATCTAACTGTAACAATTTGAAGTGTATAATGGTGTGTTTGGCGACAGCATGTCATGATTAAAATCCAAATTTTCTGGCAAAAGTACAAATGCTATTTTCAGTTGAGATTAGAAAGGAAATCAACTAAGCCAGCACTGGTACAAAGACCCAAAATACCAACAATTCCTTGTATAAAAAATAGTAGGTTCAGTGGGTTTGGATAAAAAATAAAATAAAAAAACAATTCCAGCTCATTGGCCTAGTGGTATGAATGTCCGCCCTGAGACTGGGAGATCAGGGTTCAAATCCCGGTCAGGTCATACCAAAGACTTTGAAAAAATGGGACCCAATACCCCCCTGCTTGACACTCAGCTTTAAGAGGTTGGATTGGGGGGTTAAATTACCAAATGATTCCCGAGCGCGGCCGTGTCTGCAGCTCACCACTCCCCCAGAGGATGGGTCAACTGTGGAGAACAAAATTTGCACACACATCAGTGTGTGTGACAACTAAAGATTTATACGATTCACACGTTTTGAGGCACATGCAAATTTTTGAGGCCTTGATGGAAGTTTTAGTGTAAAAAAATTACCTTTTAATTTAAGAAAAATGCCTTATTATTTGTAAATGACTCAGTTAAACACAAGCTGGTGGTCTACTCTTGAAATAGTCATTGACTTTATTTATTAACAATTTATTTTTTATTTTAAAAATAATTAATGGCTTCCTCATTTTGCAAGTGTACCTGATATGCTTTTGCAGAAATTACTCATTTTGAAATGCATATGTTTCAAAAAGAAAATGTCAGCAATAACAGTTGTCTTGACCAAATTTTCTTCAGATGAAAATGGACGCCACACCTGCTGCAGCTTCCACAGGAATGAAACTTTCAGCAGGTGTCCCAGCAGCACCCCAGCCCACCAAAATAGCCACACCACCTCTAACAGGCATCGGTTAGTTTCACTGCTGCTGCCATTATGCATCAGTATCCATATGGTTTAGAAAAAATCCTGTTGGTTTTCTTTTTCAGGCTCCAAAGCTGCTCCAGTTGGAATTGGAAGCAAACCCGTTAGTATTGGGAGCGCCGCAGCAGGCCAGGCACCAGCTGAGGGAGATAACGTTCTCACCAAGATCCTGCAGGGAGGGGCTGCAGAGCAGGCGGGAAAGCTGGGAGATGGTACAGTCATGAGATTCTTGGTCAATGATCAGATCTGTGACATTTTCTCAATTGTACTTTCTTCGTTTTTGTCTTTGCGACAGCTTTGTCTGGCCTCGGGAAAAAGTTCACCTCTTTCTGGTGAACTGAAGAGAGACGGGTAAGTCACCTGTGGTTTTTTATTTTCTCATTCACACCATTTAGTTGTTTTTAATTGGGGATTGGGAGCACGAGTCACCCCTGGGATGAAGAGAAAGCCTGAATTTAAAATCAGAGTTTTGGGAAATGGTACGTGTGTTTATTGCTTCACTCCTTTAATGAACTGTGTGCTTTCTTTCAGAGTACGCAGAGATGAAATGTGAAGGATTGGTTGCTTTGTACCGGAAAACCTATGAAACCACACCAAAATCATTTCACATCAATGACAAATTAAAAGAAGACCCTGAATTCATCAGTCAGTATGGATACTTTCCTTTTCTTTGCTTATATTTTACATTACTGTTGTAATTTTCATTATTATTCTTAAGTGAAATGTGGTTAGTCCCACTTAGATGGACATATTAATGTCCTATCAGCTGTTTATTTGCATAAGATTAGCATGGCCCATGTCTGCATAATGTGAAGCTCAAATGAAGTGATGACTCATTAAATGCTGCAACTGTCTGTACCTTTGTCTTACCCCAAATTACTCAACAGACCTGGAATCAAAGGATGCCTTGTCAGCACAGAATTCCCCAGACATGGGCTCTCGATTGAAGGGAATTAAATAAGGGGGATCGCTTTGTCAGCAGGCTGTTACAAGATGAGCAGAGGAGAGAAGAGGCTGGGAAGTAAGTGGATGCTTTGAAAGGACTACAGTCCCAGAATGATGATGGTAGAAACATCAGAGGCCTCATTAGTTCAATGGTAAGAAAGTGAGAGATACCCCTCTGAGAACATTACCCCATAGCTCAATCTACTTTTACTTTGGTTTTCTTTATTTATTTTATTTTTTAAACAAGGCTAAAGGTTTAGAGGATAACAAAAGTGTTTGACAAAGTTTGCTACCCCTGAATTTTTAGACCATCCAGTCAGATGGTTCTTTGGTATACTGATGCTCATTTACAACCATTTTATGGGTTTCAAGTGCATCACAGGCCTCTGGAAGAGCCCGTCACCCTTTCGAGGCACCTGGGCTCCCCCTAGCTCCCCAATTATTTATTTTTCATGATCTCTGTAAGCTGCCCTGGCATGCTGCTGATCAACCTCCGGTGCAAATTATGATGACAGTCGATTTGTAAATAACCAATGATTCTCTGAGTTTATTGAAATTAGTGCTATTTTTTTTGTCCTTCTTCCTGTTGTGGATTTATCTTTTAGTACGATTAGGGTCTCTGGAGCTTCATGGCCATAGACCTCATGTCTGGGTCTTATGATCTTTGAGCTACTTAGTTTCCACATTAGCCTTGTAGCACAGTTCACCATCAAGCATTGTCCATAGACAGTTGAGAGGATTCTTCTAAGAGGATGTTTAGGCCCAAGTCTTTATTCATGGTCTGTCCTAAGGAAACTAGGAGTGAGTTCACGATCTTGGCTGAGAAGCAAACATCAGACATGAACTTTTTCAGGATGCTTTACTGTTACTGTGTCAAAAGACTGATGAACAATCTGTTTTCTGATCACAGAAAATAACTTTGCTCTAGTTCTACTGAGTCCTTTACCTGGAGCTTCTGGCTTCTTTGCTCCCCTTCTTGACACCAGACCATCCTCCAAAGTTTACCCTTTTGTGTGCATGTAGGGGCATTTGCAGCTACCTGCTGTCATTCCTGAGCAAGCTCAGCACTGGTGGTAAACCAAGTTGTTGTTTTTTCATCAAAAAGGCAGGCCATGCATTTCATCAAAACTCCTTTGATCCCTCTCCATAACATTCTGGAGTTTTTACAAAGTGCCACCTGAACTGAAGCTATAAACTTTCTAAAAGTTAATGCTTGTGTCGTTCTCCAAACGAAGCTTTACGTGAGTTACAAGACATACCGTTAGATCACTGTTTTGTCAGGCAGTTAAAGTGGGAGTCTGCAAGACACCTGAGCTGCAGAGGTGAGAGGCCAGAACCAAAAACAATACAACAAACAAACAAAAGGAGTCAGCACACCTGCAGTAATGTGGGCCAAGCACTCTGTGCTAAGATCGTCGTAAGAAAGCTAACGTCTCGAAGGCACAAAGGGACAAAACAAAGCACCTGTGGGCTCTCAGAATCATGACACATGGTTGGCATCACTCACTAGATGGTGGAATGAGTCGTTTTTGCTCAGTGGAGCAGAAATACACGAGTAAAGACAGAGCAGGTTTCAACAGACTTTATTTAGCTGCTGTCAAAACACAAGCTGTAAATGGTCCTAGCAGACATTTTGACATGCACACACACGGCTAATGCACAGGTGAATTGACAAAGGCTGAATTTAGTCAAGATAAAGTCATACAGAACATGCACAGCTGCAAAAGTGGAATACAGCTGAGCTATTGTTTATAAGCCTGTGCGTGCTAGTTGTTCAAGTTGAGATGTCCGTAGTGAAATATTGCATAAATAAAGTCTTGGCAAATTGTTCATGGAAATTAAAAACGTATGTTTTTATGGAAGAATGTTGTTTCTAAAACACATCATGTTTTTATTTTCAGTCACTCAACCACAAGAAATCAATGAGTTTGTGTTTGCATCTCATCTTCGCAAACGGACAAATTAATTTAATTTTATCTCCAACACTCACTTCTTCACTGTCTTTCTTTTAGGTCAATAATAAGAAGGCAGTGAAGCGGAGAGAGAAAAGCGCACCCTGCTTCTCCTCATCCTCCAGAGGAATGCTCCTGATCTGTGAGAAAGTACAAGCCCTGCTAAAGGAGGCAGAAGGATATCACAGGAGGAAACGCTGCGTTTGTCCAAGTGAGACGGCTCAGGAAAGGAAGCCTGACAGCGCCCTCCACAGAGATTCTGCTGCAACAGCTCTCATGTCTGGAGTGTGGGTTGCACGTGGTTTCTTCATTCTACCTTGATGTCTTCAGAGTATTTTCATGCAAAAAACAAAAGAAAAAGTATGGATTCCATAGGTTTTCCACGTATCAAAGAGACAAACCTTACCTTACAATGACAACATGTAACTAGAGGGGACAACGTTTATTAACAGCAGAGACAAACAACCTGGAGAAAAGCTCCGTTGCTGTGATCTCCAAAGTACTTTCCAGTGTAGGGAGACTGACCCTTTCTCTGAATGTGTTTTTAATTTCTCGTTTTTGTTTCAGTGTCTACAGAATGCTTTGTGTCAACGTGGACACGAGAATGCACGCACAGTTGAAAAGAAAAAAATGAAGCCCATATCAACCCTTTGTTTTTGTTTTCACCACCCATAAGATGCCGCTGCTCATTAGTTGTAGGTTTTTTGGGGGGAAGGGAATTACTACCAGCGTGCCCAAAAGTGTGAGATTTCACACAGATAAGAGGACCAAATGAAAGAGTGGCCACGGCTCCTTATTAGCCATCGTAAAGCCATCGTTATATTCTGCCCCAGAGCCTTGTGGGACTTTATCCTTTTCATTGATTTCCCTCATCTTTTAGTTGTTTTACTGATTTGCATGATAACGAATGGAAGAGCCTTATTCACTTTGTTTTTACTTGTATACCTCATGTTTTAAAGCGTCCATATCATCACGAGTTTCTTTTTACACTGTATACTATTATATGTACATACAACAAACCAGAGATCTACTATGTAAATATGTCATTTGTGTATTTCTTGAATCATTTTCCAGTGAGTCTTCTTTTTACGTTTATGTGTTTAACTTTGGTAAAACTTTCTATTTTCCACGTTTGCATCGGATATTTTGCTTATTGATTTTTAAAAGCAATAGCATGCAGCAAATGGTATATAGCACAATGGTGTAAATGTTGTCTCAAACTAGCAATGGGAAATATTGAACACGTCTGTCTACGCATAGCTGTTCTAAAAATCTTCAGAAGGTTTACAACCACAGTATGTACAGACATGCATGATATGTTCAGATGCATCAGAGCATGCAGA